TAAAACTTCTCCGGATTTTATGTTCCCTATGTTTTCGTTATTCTTCCCTCGCTCGCTTGACGCCTGTTGCTCGCTCGTAGCGAATCCGTTTTATCACTCGCCGTCAAAGTTGCCACGCGTCGCGGAATCTATGGCTTCCTTTATATTTAAATACGATATCGAAGTGACTTATGCAGTCCAACTTCGTGAAAGCTGTAATGCGCGAATATCTTGGAAACTATTCAACACGTCTGAAAGTTCTTTTAAATCATTCAGTCTCGTGCAAGAATCAAAGAATAGGTCCATGCACGTTGTGAAATACGTTTTTATTGCATAAAATGAGACGACCGAAAAACTGAATCGATTACAAAATATACGATCTACACGCGAAAAATTCAAATATAGCAGATGTAAATGCGCGTTTGCGAAACAATTTGTTATCGCCTTTTAATTTGAAAAACACGATTTCACGGCGATCTTATACGCATCCCCTAATAATTATCGATGGACACGTAGCCGCGAGATTCGCAAGATCTACAAACGAGATGCAACTTACGAGGATTTCACAAGTGGAAAAGGAGCGCCGGGGCGTGGCGTCTCTCAACTCTGATTTACAGCCAGTTAAGAACCGCATATTATCGCCACGTATAACTAATCCTTTCCAGTGTATTTCCTCCTCTCGTTCCTCCCTCTCCCTTATTGTCCCATCTGTGTGTCGTCTCACCCTCGTCCTCCCCAGCCATCTCTGACCCTCTCGATATTCAGTCACCCTCTCTCTCTCTCTCTCTCTCTCTCTTATCTCGCGTTTTGTACCTCTTCATCCCTTCCTCCCTCCCTCCCTCTTTGCACTTCCTCCTTTCCCTAACCACCTTACCTTTCACCGTCCATCCGTCTCCTGCCCCTTTCTCCCGCACTATCCTCAACGCTTTGCCCCGGTCTCTCTCGCCTCCTTTCTCCGTCGTGCCCGGTGTTCCTCTTGTTCCCGTTCCCGTTGTCGATTCAACAAGTGCCCGGTCACGCTTCGCAAATATCGCACGTAAGAGGAGGAGACGCCGAGATTACGACCGCATCCGTAACCACCCGCACGTTGGTCGAGTTCCGCCGAAATTTTCGAGTATATTCCCAAGTACGAAGCCTTGCGAGTCGAGAGACAATAACAAAGTTTCGTCGATCGACGAAATTATTAACCCGCGCTGTTATATATCCTCGATTTCACGAGCTTATCTTGCCACTTTCGCGATACATAGAGTGATATATACACGTATAGCGTATAGTAAAGTGTACGAAGATTCATCGCGTAGATAGATTTCGTGGATTCTTTCTTGCAATCTAAAACTTACGAATTGTATAATTTCGGACGCGATAACAAAGATTTCATATTATTCACGCAGTATTCTATCGATGATAAATATGGAGTAAAATTAAAATATCAGATATCTGTAGAATTATATATCACTTAATGATAAGTGAACTATATCCAGCGGCCTGCGTGTCATTTTGCATCCTAGATTTAAAGTCTAAGCTCACGTTTTAGAACATGATTTCTCAACGATTGGATTTAATCTCATTTGTCTTAAATTCGTCTAAAGAACAGAAATTGTTACTTAAAGCCTCGCGCGAAATAGCAGATATCGCTTTAAAAAGTTGCTTGGAAAAAGCGTTTCGTTTTCTCGACGTTAGAAGGCGAGATGAGATCCATCGCGTTGTTTTTCCTCCACGATGATTCTACGAACGTTCCTCGGAGCTCCAAGCTGACCGGTTGACCACGTCGCGTTGGAAGGAGAATCTCCGCGAGAGCGAGTCATATTCCAAGTAGGCCGCTACGGCCGGCCGCGGCGGATATACGCGGCCGCAAGAGCACAAGCTGTTGCCGCTAGAGATACTCCAGTCAAACCAGGGACGTAGCTACCGCGCTGCAAGTAGAAAAGAAACACTCGCGTCTATCCGATCCATCATATTTGACTGATAAAACTCAAAACTTGAGTCACTTTCGGTCCACAATCGTATATATAAAATTAAACTCGTTCGATTACAAGAAGTTATATAGCACGAAACAGAGTATTTAATAAAATTAATTAACATAATTATTTAATATAATTTAAAAAATTGTAATTTATTTAATCATCTCTTGAGTTTATGTATTAAATTTTTTTTCTCTTGATAATCTATCGGAATGTAATGAAATTATAAAGTAGCTGGAATAGAAAGAAAACAGCAGTAACAGTAGGAACACATATCACGCGTCTCGTGGATTCTACACGTCTGTCTTCACTCACGATAGATTCGGTCGGCATCGTGACTACAGCTATAACAGTAGAGCTATATGCGCTATCAGCACTGCTTGTTGCGGCGTGGTAGTGACGCGCGGAAGCCGAGTTCGATGGAAATACGGTGACGATGACGTCTGTTCGCCGAGCGAATCCTATTATCGTCTCGAAACATTCCGTACAAAATGCTAGCGCTGTTTGTCTTCATCGTAAACCTCAGCGAACGGATCTATATGAAAAATTGATGAAACTTAGTACTTAGCTGACCGTTTAATGAAATGACATAGCCGCTCTTATCAGCTTTAGCTTATGAGAAGACATTGATTTTCAACTTTTCCGAACAAAAAAACGCGAATGAGTTAACCAGAAGGATTTCGGATCTATCAAGATATTTTGTAGAATAATATCGTTTAACAGTTGTCAATTTTTAAAGTTGCGTATTATGTAAAAAAAAAAGGCGACACTTTTTTTTCTCTCTTTAACTTGCGAGACTTGAAATTTAATAAGTTGCGAGTTGGAAACATTCGGAATAGAGGGAATATAGTATCCGCGATTATTTCTAATGCAAATTTGCAAGAGTTTCGCGAATTACCCAAGTTTTATAAGTGGCAATTCTCTCTATAATCGAGTCTAGCGACGTTAAGTCAAAGAGACGATAATCGACTTTGATAACGGGATTAATCGCGCGATTATGAAAGGGATTCTGGGATCGCGTCCTCTGCCTTCGTTTCGTATTTCACGCGTCCACGTGCCCAGGAGGCAAAGCCCGTCGTTACCCTTTCAGTCGACCTTGCGACGTTGATGCCGTCACTTTTTCGTCGATCTCGTCCGGCGTAAAGTCCCAACCCCACCAGCCCCTCTCCCCGTATCTTTTTTCCGTGAAATCAAACGTCATGTGGAGGCCACGTGGACTCGGCCAGCCGACAAACATATCGCCGGTGACATCTCACGGCATCTCTGAGCACAACCGTGGCGATACACTGCTTGCTTGCTCTCTCTCTTCTCTCCTCCTCCCCCTCTCTATCCACCTCTGTCCTCTCGCCCTTCCAACTCCCACTACTTCGGCCTCTCTTTCTCACGCTCGCGAGAGCGCGTTCTCGCTCGCGCCAGCGGAGAAACGCGTCTCTCTGTCTTCCGAGGTGAGCAAGGGTTTGGAGGGAGGAACGATTATTTACTTACTTTCACTCGCGCGACCTCGTACGCGCGTAAATCATCCACGGCTGCGTGGGTACCGCTTTCGTAGGGTCGCGAGATACGCACGCGAGTTCGACCCGCCCTTACGCGATCGACGACGAGACTCGAAAGAATTATAATCCGACATTCGTATCACACTCTTCACATTCTTTAGTTCGCAAGAGCAATGCTTGCAACTTTCATATTCAAGATAAAGCTCCCGACGATATTTAATGATAAATATCGCTTCTAGAATCCAACTTGATGGCTGCATGTAACAAATGTTTATATATACATATAATTTTATAAATAAAACAGCTTGCAAATAATTTTTTTTTGGATTAAGTAAAGAACAAGATTTTGTTATATTGCATAGCTATCAATGTCTCCAATATATTCTATATATATAATTCTTCTGTCACGAATACCAGCGAACGATGATGTTTATAAGATATTATTGGAAGTCGAACCAGCTCGCCAGCAGCGATCGTTCGCGTTCCGCTGATGATTTCTTCAGGGCTAGGGAGTTGCGTGACGTCATCTTCTCCATCGCTTCGTCGGAGTGCCGAGCGTCTGAGTCACGTCCTCTCTTGCCTACTCTCTCGCCTCCGTGCGGCGTGCGAAGCTAAGCGCGTCCATTCGATTTTATTGCATTAATGCTGACGAATACACAAGATAATGCTGTCCCTTAACAATCTTAGTCGTTAGCAGCGGAATGTATGATATGAATTATAAGTTAAATATGCATGCCTTTTCCATAAATAGAGTTAGAAATGAGTACGAGAAAGTACGCGGAGCTAATGATAACGATTTATGTGTGCTTTCAGAGTTGTGCAATGATGGGTCTGCAGGCGACGGCAGGAAAACGCAAATTGGAGGGTGAAAGAATTATAATCCGACATTCGTATCACACTCTTCACATTCTTTAGTTCGCAAGAGCAATGCTTGCAACTTTCATATTCAAGATAAAGCTCCCGACGATATTTAATGATAAATATCGCTTCTAGAATCCAACTTGATGGCTGCATGTAACAAATGTTTATATATACATATAATTTTATAAATAAAACAGCTTGCAAATAATTTTTTTTTGGATTAAGTAAAGAACAAGATTTTGTTATATTGCATAGCTATCAATGTCTCCAATATATTCTATATATATAATTCTTCTGTCACGAATACCAGCGAACGATGATGTTTATAAGATATTATTGGAAGTCGAACCAGCTCGCCAGCAGCGATCGTTCGCGTTCCGCTGATGATTTCTTCAGGGCTAGGGAGTTGCGTGACGTCATCTTCTCCATCGCTTCGTCGGAGTGCCGAGCGTCTGAGTCACGTCCTCTCTTGCCTACTCTCTCGCCTCCGTGCGGCGTGCGAAGCTAAGCGCGTCCATTCGATTTTATTGCATTAATGCTGACGAATACACAAGATAATGCTGTCCCTTAACAATCTTAGTCGTTAGCAGCGGAATGTATGATATGAATTATAAGTTAAATATGCATGCCTTTTCCATAAATAGAGTTAGAAATGAGTACGAGAAAGTACGCGGAGCTAATGATAACGATTTATGTGTGCTTTCAGAGTTGTGCAATGATGGGTCTGCAGGCGACGGCAGGAAAACGCAAATTGGAGGGTGGTGTTGGCTGCATGGAATTCCATATGGACTTGGGCGAGAGTCCGTCGAAGCTCGGACGCGTGGACGGTAGCTGGTGGGCGATGGATGACAGTTATGGACCGCCCTTGAACCAGACGTCGACGTCGTATTACGAGATGGAGGTGAGCTCACCCTGCCTACAGGCAACGAACCCGTGCCAGCCCACGGCGACGGGTTCCTCGCAGTCGCAGCAGCAACAACAGCAGGCACAATCGCAACAACATTCGTCTCAACAGCACCATTCATCTTCCCAGTCGACGCAGCAAGGGCAACAACAGCAATCGCAGCAGCAACAACAATCGTCGGCGTCATCTTCGACGTCAGCCTCGTCCACGGTGACGCAATTACATCACCAACACTACTATCATCACCAGCGCAGCGCCATCAGTCCAATCGGCAACAACGGTTATAATCAGTTATCGAGATCTCAGCCGCAATGGGGCGCACTTCATCATTACGAACCGCCGACGATACGTCGCGAGGAGAACGGCAAGAGTTACTTGGAACTCGGCTCGAGTTATCGAGCGAACGAGCGATGTTGCGAAGGCTCCAAGTCGAGTTGGTGCCGACGCGGTCGAGCCTGCTACCGGCAGCGACGACTCGCCGTGCTGAACATCTCAATGTGCAAACTCGCCAGGTACCGCCAGTTCCCGGATCCAAGCCTCCACAGGTCGGTATTGATCTGCAATACTTTGAGACACCTGGAACGTGAGATGGAGAGAGACAGGAGTCCACCGCCCATGGAGCCGGTCGTACCGGCACCGATAGCTCAATTGCAACCGCCTGAGCAGGGCAGGTTAACGCCTTTCCCCGTGCCACCGACATCGTCGGGCGAGACCGACGTCGATTCTGGCATCGGCGACAGCGACGACAGTCGATCGATTAACTGGGGCAGCGTGCTATCCTTGTCAAGCCAGTCGCCGCTCGACCCGCTCAACAACAACGAACTACTAGACGTGGACATAGGGCCCGATCTCGATCTGGACTTTATGCCTGGGTGGAAGTTGACGCCCCTCTCGGCGGATGACATCCTGAGAAGTACAACGACCCAGGAACAGCATCATCATCACCATCATCATCACCATCATCATCATCATCATCAGCATCATCATCAGCAGCAACAGCAGCAGCAGCAGCATCTAATGTCCTCGGGGAGCAGTTGCGGCAGTAGCTGCGGCAACAGCAACGTCGTCGGTAGCACCAGCGTCAACAACGGTAGCAGCAGTAGTACGCACGAGTCGTTGATGTGCGTAGGATCATAGCCCTCGACCTTGACATCGTTGAGTCACCTCATCGATTTTTATCCGCTGACGCCGCAGGGCAAATAGATCCACAACGACGGCCAGCACGCAAAAATCCTGCGAAAATGTCCCTGGAAGGTGCGCGGGCGAGAGGCGGCGATGAATACAGCTCACCCTCTCTCTGGAGCGTTCGATGTCTGGCCGGCGACTCTCGAGGAGCCGCCTTCTTCTCTCTTCGCGTTAATTTATTGTCGCGTCAATTACACACATATACATGCATACGGACAGACGAATACGATACCGAGTAATCTCCTGCGACACTTTCGTTCTTCCTCCGCTCCTTTTACCACCGCTATTATGACTGCTACCACCGTGGACTCTATTGCTACTACTTTTACTACAATCCTTCCGTGACTATTTACCACTATCGTTACGGTTACTCCTATTACTATCGCTACTCTACTTCTAGTACTACTATACTACTATTACTAATACTATTACTATTATTACTATTATTACACTATCGCTAATTAACGTGTCTCCCAGAATAAATATCTACTCCCCGAGGGACGGACGCGTCATGACACGCGGCACATTCGCAGGTGCAGACAAGACAACAGAGCGCTCTGAGAGTTTAAAAAACGGAGAGAGAAAAAAAAGGACGAGGGAAGGGGGGTTGGAGAAGAATCTTCACTGTCCGCGAACCGACAGGTGCTGCTACTCGCATCTGATATCCTGGCAGAAATTCAGATGGTTTTCGTACCGGGCTATCGCGTATATCATTTTTTCCGCCGTGGAATTTTGAAGCTAGACGCAAACGCGATTAACATTTACCTCTCAATATGCCGCTATAAGATTTGAGAAAACCATCGGTAATCGTCAACTCTCCAATAAACGCGTAATGGCGATCCGATTCTGCATTCGGCCTGATATATGCGCGCCTATTGGAGGATTGAAACTTACGTTTCCATAATTGCATCTGCGAGCTTGAAGATTCACGTGTGAGTTGTCGGAAAAGCGATTAAGACATATGTGCGGAAAGATTCGAGAGGACGGAAAAGAGAGAGAGAGAGAGAGAGGGAAGATGGTTTTTTGGCTACGCGTCGAGTATGAAGAAGCTTTCTCTTCGAGGCCGGAAAACTACGAGAACACTGTGATCGAAGTCTCTCGGCTCGGGGAGTTTCTGCTTCCTCTTCTGTGCGTTCACCCTCTTCGTAAGTTATATTCTGAAATTGCTGGGGAAGGCCGTCCGGGAGATCTTTTTTCATGAAATGACATTCAACATCCCAGAGTCTGCAACTCTGGAACGAATGTGACCAATCGATGATAATGTGGATGATACATCATCCGTGCGTACCCAGCATGCAACCATATATACATTCACACATATAGTATATATATACGACCGCCGTGGCCTATATTATACGCACGACGCACGAAGAGACACACGCGAGTGCAAGTGCACACACAAGTCATATGGTGCTACAGGGCGGCTGTAGCCTGGTGCTTCTTTTCTCTAGGACAGACAAACACGCATACAGACACATACATACCTTACGCCGAACGCGTACCGAATTCGCACGGATCGCTCCGTCGCTCGGGGTCGTCGTGACGCGTCCTACCGTCGTAAGCGTGATACGATATAAATCGAAGACGTTGGCGTTTCTCGATCGAGAAACTGGTCGCACCATCGCCCAAATTGTTCGAGTATTTCATCTCGCGTGCTGGAGATCGTCAAAAAGTATCTGTGTTGAGTATCTTGTCAAAAGTAAATTGTTGAACCAAGGTAGAGATAAGTAGGTAGATAGGCTAATGCGACTCAGTCTCGATTGTTTACGCGTTGTGAGAATGAGGACGGTGAAGGAAAGGGCTTAAACATTTGCGTTGGAACTACGAGATATGTTTGGGCTGTGCAATAGAATGCGTGTCTTTAATACTAGTGAGTGTATCGTCAGGAGCATTGACATCATTAGGAATAAAAATTATTTTCATACAGCGATTATACGAAATATCGTCTTACGAACAATATTCGTCTATCTTGATTTGAACATTCTAAGAGATGGAACATATATATATATCTGAAAGTACAAATAATATTCTAATTTTTTTATTATTTTAATTTCAAAGCGATGCATGTTTCTTGACGTGAACACTCACTCCAGTTAATGATAATAACGATCTACAACTGACGATTATTCTTTCAGCAAATAGTAATATTTAACTAGAAAATTTTTTTCTAACACCAAGCCATAGCAAAGAAATATATGCCACGATTGACTCAATCACAAAGTCTAATCGTAAGTTGAAACGTGAAAATTAAGCATGCAAAGTAGTCCATTAGGTTTTCAAAGTCCATTAAGCTGCAACGCAATGAGTTAACCCTAAAATGCATGACGTGGGCCAGTATGACTCAACCATCGTTTTAAATGCGAATTCCACAATAACTATTTTATCGGAATGACCATATATCTACAAGTTTTCTGTTTATAAATAAATAGAAAAAATAAGAAGGGAAGAGAACAACAAAAGAGAAATATAAATATATAAAAATATATAAGATATAAAAACTGAGAAAAATTTTTTTAATTTAAGATGCAAAAAAAAGAATAT